GGGAGTCATCTGTAAGCTAGAGGTTCCATATACCAATGAATCAGCGAGAAAACGTTAGATAGTCTTACTCAGGGAAACACTATAGAGGTATCCATCCAAATGCTTGCTACTCCTGCTAAACTTAAAAGCAAAGCCTCCCGATGTAGTGAACATGAAATACTCTGACAGAAATGCCCTGACAATTCTTGCTGGAGTAACTGACGTTACTGGCTTCGTATGTCCTGCTGTTGGAGGCTGCTTCCTCCTTCAGCACAGATAGAAGCATATGCCACCAATAAAAGAATTCACTGTGTCAAACTCATCCTACTTCATAAACCAGTATTTTTAGCTTAAAGCAGCAGGGAAAGTGCTTTGTGCTGTGAATGGCAGGAGCGAAGTACAGGTGTGTATTTCTCCTGCTGCCCCGCTGCAGGGCATTAACCTCTGACAGAGGAGGCAAGGGCAGCAAAATTGTAAGGCACTGCAGCAAGTGTCATCAAAAAAGGGCTGTCAGAGCAGAAAGCACTTTTGCAATCTCCATCCCAAATTTATGAAACAAGCTTTAAAAATATGATTGCATTAGTTGAAACAAAGCGTGCGTCAAGATATTTTTGCAGCATCCAAACACCAGGTAGGTTGGGGGGCTGGAAATCTGTTCTCTGTATATGGAGTGCTTCAATCTGCAGAATCGCTTGGTATCTGTCACCTTGCCATGTGTAATAAAGCTTGTTGTACAAAAGAACAACACTTTCATAGGAGGTACACTTCTTGAACCCACATAAAGTCTACGGTGTCTTATGTTGGAAGATCTGGACTTAAAATCCTACTCCAAATTATGTAGAGGATGAACTTTGAATCTAGATTCTTCTCAGCCCTCGCACACAGCCTCCATCCAGCTGCAGAGACACACTCACCCAGCTGAATCTCTGCTAAATGCGGGAATTTATCCACTACTCCATCCTGACTGTGCTTTTACTTGGTGTCTGCCAAATCTGAGACATCTTCCTGGACTTCAGAATAGCAGCTGCTGGCAGAGAATAACTGCTGAGCAATTCTTCTTGGAGAAAGCTGAATCTCTTCCAGTTGTGGCCATCCCATCCTGTACAGTGTGCTACTGTTAAGGAGCATCAGACAGGAGCAGTGCTCCTTGCAGATGCTCTTCCCCTTGCAGTTCCTGCTACCCACCACAGGGAGACAGCTGCAGTACGTTTCTGAAAAAGAAGTGAACAGAAATTGTCAGGCTGGTGAATTTGTATGAAAACTGCTACACAGCGCTGAGCAGAGATTCAGCACTGGTGGACTTCCCCTTTTTTGCAGCAATGAGCCTGGTTGTTGCAGTCTGAAGGCCCTGAGCAGCTCTGCCCTCTGCTCCTTTTGTGGGGGCTTGATCTGAGATCCAAGGATTTTGAAAGTACCTGGACCTGAAATCCGTAAGTGCTTTAAAAGCGTTCAGTGCTAAGCGACCTCGCACTGGACCCGACATAAGCTTACGCTTTTGAGCCTAATTGCTCATAGTGTTCATGGCCCCATGTGTGATAACAGCCCACACCTCGCAAGGGCTGTTGTGAAGAGCAGCAGAGAATACCCTAGAGGCAATTAAAAATTCACACTCATTAAAGCAGATAAATAAGCCGGGGGAACATACAGGGAAGAGGCCTGCGAATACTCAAGTAGCGAGTGGCAGCTCCTGAAGTGCTGTCTATCTGGTATGTGCCCTGAATGAGACGAGGTCCATGAATTTGCACTGAAAATCTGTAGCGTTATGCGTTATGAGCACAAAGGGACCAAATGAAGCCTGAAGATGTATTTTTGTTTTTGGCACTTCCTAACTCAGCATGTGTGACTGCACTTAAGTAAATGCCTGTTACAGCTTAAATGAGTGACTTAAAAAGTTTCACTAATATCCATACACACACAAGGGAGTGGAAGGATTTAGAAATAAAACCTCTGTGGCACTTAACTGCTGTTAGGGCATGAGGGAGCTGCCCTGTACAGCTACTCAGTTGCCTGTGCCCTCTCCATGTGTGGGAATTTATATCCCCTGGGCATCTCCCTTTCCACCAGTCGGCATATGCGAACCCAGCTGTGGTCTCCATGAAGCGTGTGTTCCCGGGGACCGCCTCTGAAATCCCTGTGACAGGAATGTCAGCCACAATTTTCTCCATGCTTGGTGGGTGCCCAGAGTGACTTAGAATCACTGCCTCTGCTCTAGGAGGTATTTTTAAATTCACCACTGGGAGAAGTTACCAGTCCCACAGTGCCCTGTGCCCCTGTTATGTGTGGGATTGTGCCCCTGCAAGTAGGACTTTGAGCCTGCGCCCTGTACATGCTTTAATCACAAACAGAAACGGGCAACCATGTCCCCCTTGATGTGGGGTGATTTGGCCAGATCCCATTTTGCAGCTTTTATACCTGGCTAGTTTGAGCAGAAACAAATGGGTTTCTGAAGATCTCCTCTTTGGGCACTTTTGTGGCTATGCACAAGGATCCCCAATGCCTGACAGCAGGTCGGTGCCTAGGGGTACAGCATCGCACAGCAGTGCCACATACTTTCAGCACCTCAGGCTTACGGCTTTCTACCCAGTCAGGCTTCAGGCCTCATCCAAAACGTCCCAAGTTCTTTAAATTTCACAGCTAAAGCAACTTTCAGGACCTCAGAGCAATCCTGCAGCTGTTTCTTTTAGCTTCTTCTTCCACGTATCTTGAAAAAATATGGATATTGCCACTGAACACAGTAATACAGTAGTGAAAGCACCAGTGTCATTTCCAGAGGGTATAGCTCCAGAGAGGTATAGACTTAACAGCTATCATAGAGGGAGAAAGAGAGAAAGCAAAAGCCTTTGGTTAGGCCAGAGCTATGACTGCTGTTAGTGAGCCAAAAATACATTCAATACAGAAATAATTTTCTTTTTCTCCAAAAAAAAAAAAAAAGGGAATCTCACAAGATCAGGGAGGAGCAAAATGTTGTGGTCAAATGATCTTTAATATTACTATTCTGCATTGCTTGTCACTTATATTAGCACCCTTCATAAAATGATCTCAGAATACTTTGCATCTGTTTAAGTCTTCCAGCATCTCTGTCAGGGATGTGATAGTGCAACTTTCCAGGTGGAGAAACGGAGGCAGAAGAGACCGCATGCGACTGGCTAGTGGAACTTGGACTAGAAGACAATGTTTCTTTCCTGGTAATAATAATAATAAAAAAAATTATACAAACATTTAAAGACTATATTTGCTGTATCACAGTGGGTTACAAAAGAACTGGGCAGTGCAAGAAAAGCACTAGCTACCTGTATCCCCAGGGTCTTGGAATGTGGGGTCTCTGCTCATCGTCTCCATAGTTTGCAAATTATTTAAAAGAAAGAAAAGGAAAGGAAAGCAAGCTTATGGCTATATGAAGCAAAATAAACAAAATATAGCCTTCAGATTATCTTGAGGATTACTATTATTTACTGTGAGTACAGCTTATGCATTTTGGAGAGAGTCACTGCATAAGAAATTCCATGATGTAACTGAAGTAACTTAGGAAAAATTCTCTATCAGTTTTAACTGAAAAGTACATGGCGTCCGAAGTTCTTGTTAGAAATCAACATTTACAGAGAAAAGCAGTGCTGCATTTAGCAGCAATCTGCATTACTTCCCATACAAGAACCTGGTGACTTTTGTTTATGACAGTCACTCAGCAAGCGAGAGGGCCAAACTTTTCAGCACAGCTGCATAGCCAGCACAAGCAGCTTCACGGAGCTGGTTAGAGGGCAGAATAAGCACACAGTCTCCACTGATGGCTGCCCAGCTTGGTGCTGTTGCCTGCTCAAGTTTTTAGGATGTGAAATATAGTTTGGAGCTTAGTTGCTGGCTCAGCACAAAGCAGCTTACAGCAGTTATATATGAACGTAAGTGTGGTGCGCCTTGATCAAACACTGAGAAGTTTACACAACCATCATCCGCTCGCTTTCCTGTCGTGAGAATAACCGGCCAGCACAGACTTTGCAATGGTTTCCTGCAATCTTCCTATCCCCTTGGCAACTAGGTTTTATTCTTATGTATTTATTTATTCCTAGGATTGAAAGCTCAACCACATACTTCTCTACACCGTGAGCAACTCTGGACACAAAAGAGCCAGGAATAACTCCTTTGCTTCCCTGTCAGTGGCTGGTACAGTCATTCTTTTAATCTTGTTGCTGAAGAAATTAAAGACAAAGAAAAACAATGAGCCAGATAGCTGGAGGAAGGAGAAGCAGCACAGCTGAAGCAGAATATCACAATTCAGATAACCTCCAGTATCAGATCTGCGTTTCAGAAGGTGCCCTTCACTGTAACCCAGAGACAGTGATAGACCCCCGCTGCCCCCAGGCAGACCTGGCTTTCCCCGCCCCTGTACCGCTGAATACACCTTGTGGAAACATCTGTGCACTGAATGAGCAATTAATGCAACTCATATTTACTAATGACTCTAATCCCCATTTAATCATCCCACCAGAATCACAGTTGGCTGAATGTTTATGGGAAGTAGACTTCATGGAATGGACACAGAACAGAGTAGCTACTTTTGCACTCACTGTGAGAGCTGTACTGAGGTTTTGACCATGTCCTCATTTAAATATCTTGCTCTGCAGAAGAAGAGTTGGACATATAGCAGTACAGCTTTCTTGTTCTGAAGATGTTTAAGTGCTGGAAGCAAGTCACACCCCTCCTAGTGCAAGTTATTTTTCCCCCGCTTTCTCTTTTAAGCACACCTTTTCCAACCCCCCACTATCTCTGAAGCTTTTGTAAGAGACAAGCCCTTGGGAACTGGTCTTTCCTGGAAACTGAAGTCAATGCATGGCCAGCTGCACACATCACAGATATGCTGTCTCAGATAAGGGCTTATATGCACCCTATTCATATATTTAACCACTATGTTTGACATAGCCTAGTTAAGATGTTTTGACCATTTTTGCTCTTAACTATGTGACAAGGTTACTGAAGCAAGGTTCCTTATTGAAGCAAGATTCTTTTATTAACTTGAAACATCATTCTCACTTGAAACATCATTTTATTCAACTGAAAAAGACATTATGCATCTACCAGTTATAGTCCACTTTAATTGGATCCAAAAATCTAAGTAGTAAATGGGTAAGAAACATCTAGTTTATCTAGTTAAAGTGAAAAAAGCCAAGAAGCCCCCATGCAACCTGTACTGGAGCTGTCAACCATATAGTACTTCCAGCTTAAAGTTGCCACAGCTTTGCAGAAAGTCATCAAGTAACAAATTAGAACACATCAAGAGCCATTTTCCAAAGATTTATTTGAAGTAGCGACAGGTTGCTCATACTGTGCTGGAAAAAGCAGTTTTATTGGATTCAGATACTTAAAAACAGTATTGCAGCACAAGATATTGCTATTTGTAAACTAGACTCCATTGTAAACTCTAATCCTTCAGGGAGAGTCAGTTTGCAAGATCTAAGACCTATTTTCTAGCATAATAATCTTGCGCTCACGGAAAAACTGCAGAAAGGCACTTGAAAGCTGTTTCTTCCTTTAAGAAATGGACTTTTTAAATCTTGCTGGTAAGAGGTTCTCCTGCATTAATTATTCATCATCACTTCAGTTTTACTCCAAGTCATCATGATGCTGGGAAGTTTCATTAATAACCTGTTGAAAGAGGTATTTGCATTAAGTTTAATTAGTAACAAAGTTGCTACTAGTTGTTCTAATTCTAACTCTAGATAGCTCAGAAGCGTGAACAAAGGGTATCAATTGTCATTTATGACTGAGAAGTTCTAATTGGTTAGAGGTATGCAGAAACAGTTTTTAAACCAAGTCTAAGCTTAAAGGGTATCTTGCACCAAATACATACCTCTATTGCCTCATGTTTTTCCTCTGAGGATTTGAGAAGTATCTTTAAGCTCAGATGATACAGCCCGTTTTCAATACTGTTTAAAAAGTAGCTATCAGCCACTTTAGTTTTTAAAACTATCATGATTTTTGTGATCATTTTTGTAGATGTCCAACTGCTGTGTCTGGCATGTTTACCCATGCAGCTCCAACTGCTGGATGCTGCTCTGCTCAATAGTCATATACAGGCCACACTGTGTGGTATACAAAGTTGCAGTCTAAGGTAACCAACTGTGATAAACAAGACTAAAGTTACCAACCTGTCCATCTCTAGTTTCGACGGTCTTAATTAGAAGTGTCCTCTTTGAGTGAGTGTCAACCATTGGCTGAGACTCGATGTTGGTTTCTGTAGAAGAAAGTCTATTACTAACAGCCTTGATGAAGACCCTCCTCAGAAAACTGTGAGGATTAACAGCTTGACATCCACTTTCAGAATCCCAATGTAGTTTACCAGGAAGTCTCCTGCTCTTTAAAGAATCAACTGTTCTTCCCTATTTTCTCCCTATTCCCCTTCAATCATCTTGAGCAGGCATGTATGAAGAAAAAACCCACCTGCTGTATGCTACTATTTACAAATATTTGTGCCCAGGAACAAACTACTTCCTCCCATCTGAGGTTAAATAATTGCAAATACTGTAGCTGTGCATGAATGTTATTCTTAGCTATAACTGCATTTATACAAGTTCAAATATCAGAGTAAAAGAAACTATCCAGAACCCTTTTGCTAACATCAGAACAGCTGCCTGAACTGAAGTAACTGAAATGGCTTACCTCTCAGATTCAGAGAAGCAAAGGTTGGAATAGGCATGTTAATCCTGAAAGAAAAAAAAGGAGTAGATTAAGTCAGCCACGGCCATAGAGTTCTCCTGGCAGTTACTGTTTAGAGAAGTGAATCTGCACGTGATTTTTACCTGCTCTCTTCTCCCTCCAGCAGTTTTCTGTAGGTGGCAATCTCAATGTCAAGAGCCATCTTTACATTCAGCAGGTCCTGGTACTCGCGAAGATGGCGAGCCATTTCTTCCTTCATGTTTTGAATCTCATCCTGTAGACGGCCAATAGTGTCTTGGTAGTTAGCAGCTTCAACAGCAAAATTCTCCTCCATTTCACGCATTTGGCGCTCCAGGGATTCATTCTGCAAGAGACCAACCAAGTAAAGTGCTGCTGCAGTTCAGCCATTCTTCCCCCCGCTCCTTTCAAGGTCCTTGAATATTTACTCAACTTCCTTTTTTTGGAAATGTTAAGTGTCCTTTTTGAAGGCAGCCAGAAGTGACTCACATTCATCATCCACCTAAAGCTTCCCTTGCAAAGTCAGTGCTTTGTTTTGCTATCTGACCAGAAGGGTGCTGCATATTCATTCTACCAAGGGGTGAGGCAACTCCTAAGACACATGCAGTCCTCACATGCAGTACACATCAGCATGCAGACAGTCCTCAGTGCCTGGATTTGTAGGTGTACATAGTTAAATCCATTTCAAGTCAGCCTTTAAGGCAGCCAGGCTCTAAAAATAGCAAGATCTGCACCTCCTTTCTACTCCTCCCACAAGGTTTTTCTCCCCGTCTCCTGTGTACAACTTCAACTGTATCTGACAGACAAGCCATAAACACTTTCTGTGAAGTGTTGCATAAACTGAATATTATAGCAAGGGAATGAATCCACTCTTTAGTGTTCGTACCTTAGCTAAGAGAAGCTGTGCATATCAATCTGACTGGTGCACAGTAGTATACACAGACTAATGGACCCTGTAACATCCTTTTCAAACAGTATCAATATGCTGCTGGTCTTGCATGGCAGGTCAGCTCCTCTCACATCTATATCAGCACTTGAGCTAAGTGCTTTAAGTTGTAAAGAGTAATAGCCCCAACAACTGCTGTCTTTTACTTACGCTTCCTTTAAGAGCATCAACTTCGCAGGTAAGAGATTGAATCTGTCTGCGGTATTCATTAGCTTCTTGTTTGGCCTGGCGCAGGGCATCGTTGTTCCTATTAGCAGCTTCAGAGAGATCTGCAAACTGTTGAAATCCCCAGTGTGGTTAGCATAATACTTCAAAAGAAATAGCGTAACAGACTTGTTTGAGACACTAGATTTGGAGGCCGCTGAAGCCATTATAAGGAAGTGTTAACATCAGAAGTTTTTAAACATTAATATTACACTTAAAACACCTTCCTATTCCTGTGCTATTGTTAAAGTGGAATTCATTGTTTTCCAAACCCTGTGTTTCCCATCTTTTCATCATCTTTCCACTTGGTCATTCAGTCCTTTCTCTAACACCTCATCCCAACAGGTGCTTTTAGCTAGCTACAATAGGAAAGACTTCAAGAGCCCATTACTTTAAAGCTGTGCTTACAGCATAAACTAATGTTTACAGCTGTGATCCTCCCAGACTGTAAGCTTAAGGATGACCTTGTTCCATGACTACAGTAGTGCCAGGTACAGAGCAAACACTGGGTATCACAGCAAAACTGTTCTCCACAGTTAATTTGAGTGCCTGCTGAATCTGAACGATCCTACAGCAGATTTTACTTACTTTGGACTTGTACCATTCTTCAGCTTCCTGAAGATTCTTAGCAGCAACGCTTTCATACTGTTGGCGAACGTCACGCAGGGCAGCAGTAAGATCAGGCTTAGAAACATCCATATCAATTTGGATGTGCTGTTCCTGGAGTTGGGCTTGCAGTTCTCTGATTTCCTTAGAGAGAAGGAGACAGTCATTATTATGACAACATGCAGGATGTAGACAGAGCAGCATCCTGGGCCAGAATCACTGAAGAGCTTATTTGCTCACTGGACAGTCAGCACCTGGTCACAGACCTCTGTTCAGCTTACCTCATCATGAAGCTTCTTCAAGAACACAATCTCTTCTTGCAGGGACTCAACTTTGCGCTCAAGATCAAGACGTGCCAGGGAGGCATTGTCAACATCCTAATCAGAAGGGAAAGGCTGATTAGCAATCTTAAAATTGGGATATAAAGAAATCTGTTACAGCAAGTTCAGTAGTACACAAACTGCTGCTACCTCTAAAGCTTCATAGCAAGCTGATTTGAAATCAATTACCTTTTTGCTACCTCCTCCTTTCTGCCCCAACCTTAGAGACTCATATATGCACCAATACTGTGTTTTTAGAGAATATACAGCATGACCTAGATAATTTCAACTTCACTAAAGTATTGCTGAACATGACCAAGAATATACAGATCAGGGTGGGTATAAATCCTGCCCAAAGGTAAAGTACACACTTGGCTCACAAGCTAGTGCTGAGCTCTTAGCTTGACTACACAGAAAACACTGAGTTACAACTTGGAATTTTTCCATTTGCAGACTTCCAATTTTCTTCAGTAGGGTTAAAAGCACCACTCGTGCCCACATGCCTTAAAAGCACCACTCATGCCCACATGCCTAACAGTGGGCTTAAGTTCTTGTTTATCTTCTATTGACTCCTTAGTGATCATCCACAGAGCCCTGTGGGTCCACAGACCACCACTTGAAACATACTGTTGAAGTTAATGAGGTATGTATATGAACTGCAGCTTTGCAGCTGCTACTCCAAGTGGTTTGACAGATCTCTTGAGAAAAAGAAGGTATGAGAATAAAACTAAATTTAATTAGTCATCATTGCCTACACCCTCACATTAACTGGCAAAGACTCCACCTTTTGCGGGACTGAGATAGTCTTAATCAACAGCAAAAATTCATTTAAGGCACAGGAGAAGATAGGCCATGAATGTTGCACAGTAGCAGCTTGAATTAGTTCAAAACATAACTTAAGACTAAACATTGATTGGTAACTTGTTGTACTTTAAGCCTGCAAGAAAGACAACTCGCAAAGGGGAAGAACGCCCCATGCCTCTGGTTACATGTACAGCTGCATTCTTACGTTTACATTGTATTAAGTATCAGGTTTTCACAGCTTGCTTTAAAGCCATTTTGGACTTGCCCAAAGCACAAGCATTCTTAATCAGCAGTTCTCACTACGGCACCTTTGAAACAGACACTTTTCTTTAGGCTCCTAGAACACCATTCTGTGGAGTACTCCTACTGTGAGCTTGAAGGTCTTGCTCCAGAAGAGTTCTTCAGTACCCTTTCTCCAGAACACCCCTGTGAGGATGTGTTAATTTTATACTCTTCCTATCAACTCCAGTTGTATACCCACAGTTCATCTTGGCTCTGTTTTCAATTCAGAGAAAATTCCTTAATTTGTTCTTCTCCAAGAACTTGAATATCATTCTAGAAGAGTTATCAACTGTGACCTAACATGTTCACATGATTAGATATCCAAAGAGTTTACAATGCATATTGCAGAAACCTGAATACTGAAGACTGAATTTTTTCAGAACAATTCAACAGCTACAGAATTTTTAGCAGCTTAGAATAAATGAAAAGCATCTTAAATTGAAGGAACTGTGACTATATAGCATATATCATATATTATCATTAAGTCAGTGATACACTGATTCTTCCCTCCCTATTTCCTAGAGGTATGGAGAACCATGTAAATGAATAAGCCACATATATCCTGAGCAAACAAGGTTCAAGTTATGCAGATACATGCAAACAGACCACACTGATATTTTTTCCAAAAAGTCAAGTTTACAAGGTTGCATATGCTTATTTCAGGCAAACCTCATGTTTGCCAAAAATAAGCCTATAAGACTTGTCATAGGAATAGATCCTGAGCCTTACTGTCAGACTACCCGGCAACGCTGCTGTAAATGGCCTTCTTCAGTAATTCAGACACCTGTTTTGTCCCAAAGGAAAAACCTCACTGAACTTTCAGGTTTATTTTGTCTTGTCTGCCCCTTGGAATGTGAACAAGGCCACATGTCTCTTGCTCAGGAGAAGACCTAAGTTGAATTAAAATTCAGTACACCTGAGTTACACAAATCTCATTAAGGCAGGCCTCTTTTGGAAATGTAAGTTAAAAATCAAATACTTTTTCACTTTGTTTTAAAATGCTAAACTGTAACTATTCCAAGTCAAAATTACTTTACCATTCCAATGTAGCATCAAGGCACCTACTGAAGCATTCTGAATACAAGTATACATCGTTCTATTGCAAGAATAGAATGTTTTAATAAAACCCTGTTCCCCTTTTTTCAAGGGCAAAAAAGAGGATGTTTTAACTTCAGCTTTGCACAAATTTAACCTCACTTACCAAAGACAGTACTTCTATTTAAATAGATGTAGTTTTTAAAATCTGCATGTTTAGCCTACCCTCTTATGATAAGTTAGATATTACTATTGTTCAAATTAAACACACTATAATACACTAGTTCAGACATACACAGATTTAGTGTAATATATCCACAAATATTTGCAATTTTTACATATTCTGTACCTTAGAGGTGAAATGGATATAGCTGGCCTAGCTGTACTGCACATACAGATCTGCTGGTGGCTGAGGTTCTGAATGACCACCCCCCCCCTTAAAGCATAAGCATTAACTGGATAATAAATGTTGTAGAATACGTATAAAACCAAGTTCATTAAGGCCTTGAGTCTAAGTCTACAAAAAAGTAGAATCAGTTTGAGATGGAGATAGCCATGCCTTGAAGTGGAACAATTGAGCATGCAAGATCTTTTAAGCCAGCCACCTTAAGTCAAAGGATCCTCCAGCTGAATTCAGCAAAGAATCTGACTAGATTAGATTCTCTAAAGTAAAGTTCAGTGCAGAAACATATGACCTTTGCACACGTTTAAATTGGCTTAGCATTCAAAAAAATCAGAAGCTTAAATTAAGGCTTGAATTTAATTCATACCTTGAATTCTTCTTTTTCAAACTTCTGTTCCCAGAATACTAACAGAGACTTTAAATTCCCAGACTTTAAATGACAGTTGCTGTCTTAATTTCTACATGTTATCTCATTAAGACATCTGTTCTCCTTTAGAGAATATAAGCATACTGCAGTTGAAAACCTTGCCCAAGAAAATATTGACAATCAAGTGATGACTTCTCGAATGGCGACATCTACTAATGTATATGAACAGCTTTGTGACCAAGTCAGATCTGAGCCCAGCTGTCTGTAGATAGAGGCGGTCACTTTCAGCTGGGAAGAATTCTAGCAATGCTGTTTCACACCAGCAGGTTTAGGGATGAGATCTTGTTTTGAGAAGGCGCATTCCTAAATATCTCCTAGTCCAAACAAGGCTTAAGCCAAACTGAAAGCTATTTTTGCACAAATGAAAACCTGAGCTTAGAGCTTTTTCAACACTGTTGGAAGAGTTAGTTCTACTTATCATGTAGCTTTTAGCTGATCTGGATAACATGGTAGCTTCCTACCGAGACTAAACTGCTTTCCTGTGTTAACAACTTTGTTTGCATAGGATTAAATTCTACATTCTTAAACCGATAAGAAGAGAAAAACTTGACTGCTGTGACCTCACCAAGGGACAAATGGTCTACTTATCAGCAGACATCAACACCAATACAAAAGAGTTTAACTTTAAAACTTTTCTAGTAGCGCTATGAAGTGATTCATAAAAAAAGGAATTCTGTTTTGTATAAGGCCTAGACCATATACATGACAGACACTTTTCTCTAGAAATATGCTTACATCATTACGCATTTAGTAAGAATGCAGCCCACTGCACCCTCCCCTCGGACACAAAGAGTTCTATTATTTCAATCTGCTGCCACCACACTTGCCATAATGCCTGTATCTGCATTCCACGGTGAATCCCATAGAAACCATTAATACCCTTCAGCCAAGCGAACAGATGGCTCCCCTTTCACTTTTATTGGATCAGAAAGTGATTCCACATCGGAGCCCTTTTGTAAAATAGGCTAGACTTGGATAAAGCAAGACAATAGTTTTTACCCTCCCCCTTGGACTGTGGCATCAACCTAAAGAAAACAAGGAGATTGTGCATGAGAACCGATGGAATTCCTTTGTGCAAGGGAAGCACAACTCCAAGTCCCACTCTCCCATCCCAGCCGCTACCTCAGGACTTTCTCTCCCATACAGCGGTTCGGGAACGGCAGCTGCTTATTTCGAGCGCGCTTAAAATACAGGCGGCTGCCTTGTTTGTTGGGTGCCCCGGGGGAGCGCGAGTATTGCAAGTCACCGGCGGTGGCAAGG